AAGGTTGTTAGTAAGGCTTTATACAGTCGAGATAACTCGAAAAACTTGACAACTTGATATTTTTTTTTATTCCCCTAGAACCTCGTTTACCCTAAATTCGAGTAAAATATCTCGACTAATACATATTTTGAAGTAAAATTGTATCCCCCTTCAAGTTATCGCGACTTCACTGTATATCAAATATGTAAATATTATTGCATTCAAACCAGTCGAACACATTTTCATAAATATCATAATTAATTATTTCATAGATAAGTATCAGATAAGTTATCAGTTTATCACAATGACTAAATGACCCATCGTGACCATTTAGGTAACCATTTCGACAGGTGACGTTCCGTTCCATCATTCRTTTGGCACGACTACGTCACCCAGTCCTCGGGCCAAATGTTCCATCTTTGCGTATCGAAGAGCAATCACTAATCAGTAATCCTGATTTCTCATCCAAAAAATATTATTTATTTATTAATTAAAATATTTAGATACACTTATAAGTTCAACAATCATAAAATATTATTTTCAAAGATCTCTCGGAAGGGGGGGGGGCGATCGCCCCCCTCAAATACGCCACTGACCGTAGTTAACTATTTTTGTATTAAATTTAATATGTAATTTGTTTTATTGAACTAAAAATAGTCAAAAAATTATATTATTACCTGTTTTACATCATGGACGCTAATTTAAACCATTAACAAATTTAAGTTAAAGATTTTAAAATCTTATGTATAATTTCATATTCATATTATAAATCTGATCACTTCTTAATATAAACAAATAAATTAATAATTAGTTATATTTTTTTTGAATATTTCCAACTAAAATAAATACATTTCACCTTTATACTAATAAATACCAATAAGATATTAAGACATGTACCGGTGTATCTATCTTTCAAAACAATCAAAACTCATCTTTTTACCACATTCAATATACAAAAGATTAAAAAATTAGCACATTGGTGTTAATAGATGATAGATTAAATTTGTTCATCCAAATTATAACACAACAATTAAGAATGAAAGGTCTACATAAGAAATTTTCAGTACATACCTATTTAATTTTTTTTTTGCTCTGAATTTAACCACAAGTTATACTTTATAGAGTACTTTACTTAAACTTAATAAAAAAGTATTATTAAGTACAATCCGCTTGAAAATGATAGAAATATTTTCAAATTTTTATCAAATATACAAATTACAGAATGATCCTTTTATCATGAATCACT